GCTCACCTCTCGATCCTGTCACGGCTCTCTGCCGTGACAGGGGGAGGGGCTGGATTCCCCTCTCCGATCTGCCAGCGCTGACTGGCGGAGGGGGCGGGTACAGCTGGCTCTGCCTCTAGATAGGCAGAGCCAGCTGTCACTCACGCAGCTGGGCGGATCCTGTCATCTAAGTCGGGATCCGATCCGTCTGCTGCATCTCAGTATACCGCGAGCTGTAGCTCCCTATATACTGAGCTTAGGGTAACGGGAGGACGCTAGTTTGTGTCCTCCCGTTACCCTAAGGAGAACTATGGGGAAAAACACTGACCTCCCATAGTTCTCCTTTAAATGTTTAGTATCACTTTAAGGGCACATTCACACTGCTGCGTTACGCTAAAAGGTATAGTATCCGTGCGTTTAGTGCAGGTTTGTTGCACTGCCACTCATTCTAAAAGGCACTTGAACACATCTCTGGTGGGTGTCCATTGCGCTGCACCGCAATACTGTAAGTTGAGTTGCTGTGTAATGGAAAGCAGTAATGCACGCATGCAGTGGTAACAGGTAGTGCAGCATTTACTTTTTTTCCAGCTGAATGTACAGTATCTCAATACTGAGTGTTGCAGCAAAATGCATGCCTGCCGGGAGGTGCCATTCAGAATGCAGCTCACCTAGCGTGCAGTGCAGTAGTGTGCACTAAATGCGTAGATATCGTGCCTTTAGCCCTAGGCAGCAGTGTGAATGGGCCCTAAAACAAACCTTCCATAGCAAATTCAATGCATCACCAAAGCACAGGAATAAAGCATCACTCCTCCCTCAGCTTTAGCAGGGGAAAGACAGCCGGGTGCTCGCCGGCAGGAGTGTCCCCTCACTCCAACCAAACAGACTATAGTAAAGAAAGAATCCGGCCACGCTGAATCAGTTTATTGAAGATCAGTGACACCAAGTCCTGCCTGAGGCCCCCCCCCCCTTTCTGGGGGGCAGGGGGTGGACCTTGAGCAGGACTTGGCATCTTTGACGAATCGTCAATCAACTGATTCAGCGTGGAACGGAGTGCCGACCGATTCTTCCTTTACTAAACTAGGTGTGTGGACGTACAGATGGGCACCAAACCCACAACATGAAAGAGTCCAAAGTGCCTTCAATTGTTAAAGCAGAACTATGAGGGGGGACAATGAGACTGTCACAGGTCGGCTCAGTAGATCGCGAAGTGAG